TATATGATTTTATGTTCTACTCATACCTAAAAATAATTTGGAGCAACTTACATTGAAGTTACAATGTACACACCATAATCATTACAACAGAAAGGGGTGCAGAATTCTAGGTGTAGACATTGCAGCCGTCTCTAATGCACACATCAGAATCATTACAATTGATCAAGAGCTGTAGGGTTGTAGGAAGGCAGTGGAAGGCGTGGGCTTTCCTGTGCACTGCCAGTTGCCAGTTGAAGTATAAACTATAGTAGTATCTACCACACTGAACATTGGTATTGCTGTACTTTTCCAGTGCTGTGATAAAACGCCACAGACAGACAACTTATAGAGAAGGAATTTATTCCAGCTCATAATTCCAGAGGGTTAGAATCCATGGTGGTGCAGCTAAGGCATAGTGGCCAGAGCAGCTTCTAAGAGCTCCCCTCTGGAAACCCAAGTAGGAAACAGAGGTCTAACTCAGAATGACACGTGTCTTTAAGCTCTCAAGGCCACTTTCTGGTGGCACTCTTCCTTTTTCACAAGTAGTTATTTTGACAAAGCTTTTCTCCGTCATCTGTCCTTAGTGAGCATAGCCAGCTCTCTCGTGAAGAAGGAAAGGGAAAGGCTGTTATTAGACTCGCTGACCAGAGATACCGGTGACTCTTGATCCCCTCCCCACTTATGAAGACATTGTGGTTCATGGAAGATAGAGAACGGTAGAGGGAGGTGAAAGGGAGCCTCTGTAATTGCCTCAGCAAGAGTTGGAGCCAGTGGCCAGACACTCGTTGGCATCTTTAGAAACCACAGGAAGTTAGCAATTCTCTGAACTTTGTGAGATGCATAAATGAACAAACCAAGAACAACAGCATCCTGAACTGCTTGACATGGTTATCATCACATGATGTGATTATCATGTGTCACAGTGAACCCTTCTCCCAGAAGTTAACCATTGCTATTTCATAAGTGTTGTCCTAGGAATGCATTAGATTAAGTCTAAAACGTTCCCATAGGCACATGTTTGCTCCCCGCTGTTGGAGGTTGTAGACGTTTTGGGAAGTAGATTCTAGCTGCAGAAGTGGGTCGCTGTGGGCGGGGAGCAGGGGTGTGGGGGGAACGGGGGTGTGGGGGGAGGTATATACTAACCAGGTTCAACCTTGAGCTCTTTGTTTCATGATCCCTAGAGAACATAGCAAGCCACCCGTGGGCCCCCAACGCCACAGACATTTAAGGAGTGGTTCTGTTCCAACAATTCTGACTTCAGGAACAGATCGACCAACCAGGCTGTGGCACACACCTGAGAGAAACATTGAAAGGAGGAATGACCCATTCTGTCCCTGGAGGCTTCTGTCTACAGTTCTTGAGTCTGTTGCTTCTAGGCATGTGGTAAAGCAGAAGGCCATGGTGGTGGGAACCTGGACAGGTGACTGCCTTACCTCAGGATCTACTTTTCCAACCAAGTCCACATCCTAACATGTCTCTTCCTCTCTGTCGTCATGCATCCTGCAAGGGCCATTTCCTGTTCCGCCCCTCCTACCATCTTCTAGCCTCAGCTCCCAAGGGCTGGGGTTGTAAGCAGGCAACACCACACCTGCATGATCTCTTTTTGTATTTATATTTTCTATCACACAGAAAGTTTATGTCTCTGCATATTCAGATTTGATAAGTGGCGTAGTTCTGAGTACCTGCCCTCTCTTCTGTGAATGTGATAACGCCAATGTTACACTCGCCAAGGAGCCGAGTGTAACACACCGTGGCAGAGTGGTTGCATGGGTTGTTCATTTTTTCTCTTTATTTTTCTAATGTTCATCTTTTAAAAAGGAAATGCAGACTGACAGGATTGCTCAGTGGCTAAAGAATTTGCTGCATAACCCTGGAGGCCCTGCCTTTGGTCCTCCAAATCCATGTAAAGGTCAGAGGGAAGAAGAGACCCACAGAGTTGTCCTCTGGCCTCTGCGTGTGCTCCGTGGCCCACACAAGCCTACACATATACATCTACACCCATACATGATAATATACACACAAATACTGGGCTCTGAGTAGAAGGCAGGAAGATAAAAGAGATAAAAGGTTAGTTGTTAAGGAATTTGAGAGTATCTATTTTTGGTAAGAATTCCCTTCCTGCATGCCTGTATTGCATATCAATCTGGTTAAGTCTAAACACACCACACTGTGCCCTAGCCGCCAACTCTACGTGCTTGCATATGAAGATGAGGTCCCCGGCCTGGCCAGGCCCCCGTGCACGTTAGCTTAGATGGGCAGCAGTCACATGCCGCATAAACCATTTTTATAAGACCCCTTTGGCTTTGGACCACTTAACACTAATACCTTTTTTTAAATTTTGGAACTTCAGAGTATCTGTTTACAGTACAGTAATAAAATTCTTACAAGACAATGTTAAAATAAAAATAATTTTGTGTTGGGTGTGGTGGTACGGCTCTACAATTTAGTGCTCAGGAGATGGAGGCAGGAGGATTGCCAGTTATAGGCCAGCCTAGACTACATGGCAGGCAGGACCCTCCAAAAAAAAAACTAAAATAAAATGGAGCATGAAATGCGAACGTGTTGTAAAGGAGAGGTTGTCTCTGTATGTGTTGTGTGTGTGTGCACGTGCGCGTGCATGATGGTAGGCAGGTTCTGTCCTGATGAACTCTGTTTCCATTCTCCTTGCTCCATTCTCTATACCGTGGCAAGTATGTCATTAGGACCAGCGAGATAGCTCACTGGGAAAGCCTGATATCCTGAGTTCAGTTCCCAGAACCCATGTGAAACTGAGGCGGCAAAGCTGTCCTTGGGTCTCCACATGCACACTGTGGCATATGCACACCCCCACAACATACACTGGCAATAATAAGTAAAGTAATTTTTAAGTACATCATTAACCAGGGATTCTACAGGCTGAGGCAGGGGGAAATACAAGTTCAAGGTCAGACTGGGCTATGTAATGTGACCTTTTTTTTCAGGGTTGGGAAGATAGCTCAACTGATAAAGTGTTTGCCATGTAAGCATAAGGCACCGAGTGTGGATCTTCAGCACCCACATAAAAGCCTGGAGCAGAGTCACACTTCTGGAGTCTCAGTGCTGGGGTGGGGCGGGATGGGGAGACTCAGAGACAGACAGCCCTGGTGTTCGTGGTCAGCCATTCTAGCTAACTGAGGAACAACTGAGAAAGACGCCTGACGTCAGCCTCTGAGTTCCACACACACGCACTGCATACCTGTATATACATCCATGCGCTTGTGTGTGCTTACGTGTGCGCTCTTGTGCGTGTGTGCGCGCACACACACACACACCACCTCTCGAGAACATTGTGTGTATACATAACTCCCCTGCATGATAGGAACTGTTCTGCCGAGTCCCATGTGTTGGTGTGACATCAACATTGACTTTACAGTTTAATATATTTAAATTTGCTTTCGGGCTTGATAAAAGCACTGCCAAACCTTATGACCTGAGATGAAGCTGCTCCAGACTCACAGGGTACAAAGAACTGACTCTTAGAAGTTTTTCTCTGACCTTCACATGGAATGCAAGTGTCATTTTAAAAATCACTCTTTTTTTTTTTTTTTTTTGGTTTTTTGAGACAGGGTTTCTTGTTTCTCTGTGTAGCCCTGGCTGTCCTGGAACTCACTCTGTAGACCAGGCTGGCCTCAAACTCAGAAATCCGCCTGCCTCTGCCTCCCAAGTGCTGGGATTAAAGGCGTGCGCCACCACTGCCTGGGAAATTACTGTTTTAAAAACATTTTTTAGTGATTGTCTCTTTAAATCATTCTTTCTGTAGTGTCTTTAGTTACTTTAATGTGGCTTAATTTGAAGGTCTTATAGGTCTGTACGAAACTCAGGTAGTATTCCCTATGGCGTCAGCCATGGCAAATGAGATTTTTGAAAGCTGCAGCGGTGGGCAGCCCTTCATGCCGTCTGCGCCGCTGTGCTTTACGTTGCTGCATTTTCTACAGTTGAGGAGTTCCATGGTTGTATGTTAAATGTCAGCAACCTGCTAAGAAAGATTCTGTTTAGTCTAAACTTTATCTTAATGACTAGTTTTCAATAAAATTGAACGGCTGTCAGTCACCACCACAATTAGCTAAGATTGACTTGTGCTGAAATTAAGCATATTGTCAGGTCATCTTGTGCAAGTTTGGACGCAGGATCGGAGGGAACTTAGATTTGCACTTGAGGGGTGTTTTTTGGAACGGCTTTTCTTCTACCAGTTATTTCTCCTATTGACTGTTAATTTATCAACCCTTCTCTGAAAAAAAAAGTGAGAAGAAACGAGGCCATAGCACTATCACATGTTTTTATGTGAGCTCCGTAAGCCATATGGTGATTTCTAATTAGAATACAAAAGACTGGGTGGCAGGACTCACTCATAGCGGTGCAATGAAGGCCCCACAGAAGGAGGGGCTGGCGGTGGGATTCCAGCAAGGATGCTTTTGAGGGAAACTGTGATCTGTTCTTGTCCTTATCCTGACAGAAGGCTGTCCTGTATGTGTTCACTTGATAAAGTTTCTGAGGTGTCAATTAAGTTGGTATTTGGAAGCTAGTGATCTCATTCTGAGCCCCGATCCTCTCAGCCGGTGGCTTGACTTGGTTTTTCTCGTTCTAAAAACACGCTCAATATTTAATTTCACGTGTACCCTCTCAGTGGAGATTTCAAAGGATACTTGCTGAATGCTTGACTGCTTTGCCTGTTTGCTCTTGTTTTGCATGCAAGAGAGAGCCAGAAGCTTTCTTCTCATTGTGTGCACATAGTATTAATGGATTTACTCTGCCTGTATCGTCTCATTACTGGAAACATCTAGAAGCTCAGAAGTCTTTCAATGTATGCAAATAAGGCAGGATCGTCTACCTGAGAGTTAATATTCTCTGCTTTTAAGTGTATTCTAAATCTAATGTTTGTATTTAGAGCATAACATCCTGTTCTCCTTTTTTTTATGGGCAAAAAGCTAAGCAGGCTCAGGCAGCTGTTTGATGTTGGCTTCAAGTGTTATTAATTTCATATTCTATTATTCTTTTCACTGTAGCACAAGTGAGGCTGATGTGGAGGCTGTCGTGGATAAGTTGTTTGATGAGCTGGCTCAGAAACAAAATGATTGTACGTAAGTTAATTTCTCTTGAAAGAGACTACATTTAGAACACAATGCCCAATCTCCACTGACCAATTAATAAGTTCCATTGCTGTGTATGGGTTGATGCCACACTCAAGTGGCCGTCATTGTATCAGCATTTTCTCTAATTTATGTGTTGAATCATGTGCTATTATTCATCAAGCTATGCATTTCCTATCTGTAAGAGATGAATTTTATAGTAATTATCCAGACAAGATTGAGTCTTTGTTCATGTTCCCATAGTAACTAGCCCAAGGATTCTGAAAGTGCAAGGCAGAGAGCTGCGGCTGAATAAAGCCTGTGGAACCGTTGCCGACTGCACATTTGAAGAGCTGTGTGAGAGAGTAAGTAGCCAGGCCTGGCCAGACTCACTGGCCTTTTCACATGTTAAAATACTTCATGTCTCCCCCTGGGCCAGCTTCAGATTTTAAAATGCCATTCACAGAGTCAGAAGGGAGGTAGAAATCTCCGTAAGGGACATTTTCATCGATTTGCCGAGCAATCTTTATAGGTACTGGCACAAAATCTGCTCTTTGAAGGGCTTTCAGGAAAAATCAGAAATGCAGAGATGACTGTCAACTGTTGCTGGGAGCAGAAGAAAAATCAGTGTCATGTATGGCTCTATTGTGAAAGTCACATGTGAGGGAAGTAAGGAAAACTGAGGTAAGGGCTGGCGAGATGGCACAGTGGGTAAGGACGCTTGCAGCCAAGCCTGGCCACCTGAGTTCTATCCCCAGCCCCCGGTGGTGGAAGAAAAGAGGACAGCTCCCACAAGTTGCCCTCCAGGCTGTGCGTGGATGCATGGAATAAATGGATGAACGGAATAATTTTTTTACAAGGAGAAAAAAAAAACGAGGTGAGATCAGTAGGGGCGGGGAGCACGATAAGCCATCGATGTTATTGACCTAAGGAGATGTGACGGAAAGAACCGAATTCTTCAGATTCGTTGTTCAGCTGCCATGCTGTCTGAGCTGCGTGGGCCAGATGGAAGAATGTCAATTTATAAAACTATGACGCTGGAATTATAATAGAAATAGTTTATCTCACAGATGAAATATATGCACATACACACACACACCCATGTATCAGAACGTCTTTGACCACAAATTCTCTGTAGATATGAAGTCTGTCTTTTCAAAGTGTGGGGGTTCTCAGTGCTCAGTGGACTACTTACTGTCACTATCCAGTGTATGTCCTGAGATGTTCAAGTAACTTTCCATGGACTTCCGCAGTGGGGCGTCATCCCTGGTCCTGAGTCCTTACTTTCACCCAACCCAAGCAGTGCTGTTCTGAGGCACAGCGGAGGTCACTCACGTTTATACCTGCTGAGTGTTAACCGAGTGAGTTTCTCCAAAGCCGCTGAGCACCTAGAGCCATAGATACATAGCCGCCAGCTTCCTAGCCGGCAAGAATTTGTCATCTTTCAACCACAGATGAGTCCAGCCTGCAGTCATTTAGCTCTTCGGAAGGAATACAATTAGGGTTAATTAAGACTCTGTGATGGAGAGGCAACCTCTGATCCCCACGGCGGCTGACATGACTCTTGCCGCTCTCCCACCTCCTCAGTCTTAACTCCCAATTACCTGCACCTGCAGGAAGAAAATCCACTTGGAATTGCACTGAAGTTTTACTGTCTTTGCTAAAACAGACTCTCTTGTCAAGGATGAAGGCTCTCCTCTCACTGCAGGAGGAACCCCAGTGAGGCAAGGGGACAGGCAGGCTGTGGGGTCCTGAAGGAGGCCCTCGTGGAACAGACCCTCAGTGTCTGTGTCTCTCTGTTCTAGGCTCATTAATTATGGACACTTGGTATCAGAAAGAGGCTGTTTAGAATCTAAAAACCCTTATCGTCTTTTTTCTGTGCAGTGGAGTTGGAGGAAGAAGGTTAATCAGGATTTAATATTGAAAAATGAAAATAATACCAACACAGCTCACCTTTATTTGACAAAAGTTTGGGCTGCATGGCAACTGTGAACCAAATTCTCAAAGTCAACAATAATACAAGATTTCCATTTATTTTGGCATAACCAGTACATTGTTATAGCCTTCACTTGGTGACTGGTTGGTTGTTCAGTTGCATAGGAAACCCCTTCTATAAAATGGTCCAGAATTTCATGATTTCTTGCTGTCCTTTAATGCATGAATATCCCAGTTGTTTTTGTTGAGGTTTTTGTGCTGTCGTTACCTCTACCACGTTTTCTCTTCCCCTAGGTAAATAGACCAGTCAGCATTTATTTACTCCACTGTAGCTGGGATGTTTTCTGCATCAGACAAGCCCCGAATGACTGACAGGGCGTTGGCTTGAGGGATGCGGGTTCGTTCCTCAGTGTTAAGCTCCCTATGGAGAATGGTCTGAGGAAGGTCGAAGTTTTTAAGTGGTCAGTTCCTGACTACCATTTTCTTTATTACAGTGATTTTGCATTTCTTTGCAGCTTTATAATTGTGGCAATTCAGAGACTGAATAGTTAGTTCCATGAGAGGATCCTTGAGATCAATCAACTTCAGATTAAGCCGAAAACTCTTAATTAGTTACGATGATCTTACGAGCCAGACTACATAGCTGCCAAAAGATAGTCAGGAAAGATAAAAACAACACATCCAACCCAGGTATTTGAGTAAACATTTGGGGGCTGGGGTCCAGCTTTGGACCACACAGTATAGTCTCTGGAAGGCCTGAGACCCACTCAGCTGTCACCACGGACATCATCTTGAGAAAGTCACCCCCCATGAGCAAACGGTTGACGCTCTGCAATGATTAGTTTTAAGCCATGGTGGTGGGGGAGGAATAATATTTTTGTGGACTTTTAAGTGGGTAGCAACTTGTCTACCTGTGTGTTAGTTAATAAGGTACAAGAAGGTTTTAACTTGAAGTCCTGGACATGCTCCATAAGGAAACCAAAAAGGCCCAGGGTTTCCAGCCTCTGCATCCCTCTCCCTCCCTGTTCATAGTCTCACATCTGTAACCCTGCAGGTCAACGTCTACTTTCTTGATATCTCTCGTATTTTCTATTCTTTCTCTTCACAAGTCTGATTCAGCATTGCCATGCTTAGAAGACCAGTCCAAAATAGGACCCCTTGGCACCCATATAAAAAGAACAGCTAACAGAGCCACGCATAAGGATGACATCATTCCAAGTGTTCTTTATATAGTAGCTTATGTAATGCCACAATAAATAGGTGCTATTATTGTCCCATTTTATAGATGGGGAAATGGAGGCATTTAGATGTTAAGTAACTTACATTTGGTCATACAGCTAGTAAATAGCAAAAGGAAGACTTGAACTTCTTGCTGGTTTGAGAGTTAGATTCTACATTCTTTACCTCTACATTATGGCCTGGGAATTTCTGGGCAAATTCTGTCATAGTTCATTAATAGAATTCAAATTTTGCCATGAAATCCACTCAGATTATTTGCACATTTCCACATCTGAGGTCTCACCCAAGTGAGAAGAACAGAGCATTCTCGAGTTTGCACACAGAGGTACACTGACTGGTTTTGAGCTCTGAGACACGGATAGCACACGATTCTAGCTGAAGAAGCTGACACAGACCTCCTGAGAGGTCTTTAATACAAATATTGCTTCTTTATCAGAGTGTCCCCAAAGAAAAGTGAAGCCAGAGAGAGATGTGGTGCACTGTCTGGATCCAGAGACCTGGCGTGTCTAGCCGTAATTTATATTTGTGACTTGCGCTGAGTATTCACAGGTATGCAGGGGCCCCTGTGAGCCCCCAGGAGTCTGAGACCCACATTCCCTCTGTGTGCAACCACTAGGACACTGCTCTTCTCACTGGGGTGAGATTTCCAGCAATGGTGCTATAGAAATGACAGGTAAAACCTGCTGAATGCGGACAGTGACACCAAACCGTATTGTGCCCTCCATAGCTGGGTTCTCACAGAGGAACAACACAGCAAAAGCCAAGGGGTGGGGGTGGGGGTGGGGGTGGGAAGAGACAGAGAGAGAGTGCGAGCAAGTGCAAGAGAGCACAAGAGAGCTCCATCTAAGGAGTCCACATAGGGTGGTCAAATGACTGGTTTTGTTAAGTCAACTTTGAGAACATGTGTTCTTACTATATTTGTAAGGATGGCAGACCAGCATGAGACACTTCTGTATACCAAATACCGTGGCTGCCTTAAGGAAAGCTCCTGGGTTTTGTTTCTTTCCCTCCCTTAAGATTAACAGTTCTTACGTAGAAGACTGAATGACAGAGTGTGGTTATTCCACTTGGCAGACACTCCCCTACAGTGTTTGACAGACATTTCTTGGAAATGAGTGGAGACTGTCATTTCGAGTTAAAACAATGAGCAATGTTTGTCACCAGTGTTGAAGTCTGCGTGAAGGAGTCAAAGTTAAAATGTTGGCACTTGTCTCTGCCATCATGATCCCAGGTTTTGAACCCTCCCCGCTCTGATGAGATTGATGGTGGTGAAAACAAATGCAGAACGTCAGGAGTCTGGGGAGAGGAGGCGGGGCTAGAACACTACATCAGGAGTCTGGGGAGAGGAGGTGGGGCTAGAACACCGGCTCTCTCTACATGACTTAGCTGGCCCTGAACCCCTTGTCCTCCTGTTCAGCCTTCTGTTTACTACTATGTCTGGCTAAATGATTTGGTAATTATATAATTGAACATTTCAACATTTGGAAGGTCTGGTTTATTGAAACAACATTTCCCAATAACCAATGCATACTGTTGTAAAATCACACATGACAGAAGAAAAATGCAGAAAGACTAATAGAAAATAGTAATCAAAAATATAAGCTGGGTATGGTGGTATGTACCTATAATCCCAGCATTTGGGAGGCTGAAACAGGAGGATTGGGAGTTTGAGGCCAGCTTGGGCTACATAGTGGAATCTTCCTCAAGCTGGGGACAGGGTGACTATGATGGACCAGCCTGTGGCCTGATTTCACACATCCCTGTAGTGAAGAGAGAACCAACTCCAGCAAGTTGTCCTCTGACCTCCACACATACATGTGACATATATAAATAAATGTGATTTTAAATATACATACATATGTACAAATTCACATGCATACACATACAACAGCAGAAGCTGTTTCAGAGTCTACTGTGAAGTTAGCATTTTAAAATCTACCTCTCGTCAACTTCTTTAACAACTTTAAATAGGCAGGTCCTGCGTCTCACCCAGGCAGCATAGTAGACCCTAGTAATGGGGGTTATTGGTGAGCCAGCCCTGAGAGCATGGGAGCAAAAGAGCCAGGCCGACCAGCTCAGATGTCTCCCAGGCCCAGATCCAGGGCTTGGAGTTGGCCCACCCCAACATCCACCCCATCTGTGCACTGCTGGAGCACATGAAGGGGCAGGTCCTGCAGATCCAAAGCTGCAG